GAGTCTTTTAATAAGCCTGTCTAAAAATCACAGGACCTCAGCACAGTTGAAAAAATTTTAAATTAAAAAATTGTTAAATTCAAAATCAAGATTTATTTAATAAATTTATAGTATGTAGCAACATGGTAGTTCCTAAGAATAGTAATATGAAAAAAGTTTAATACAAAATAGTGACTGATTTATTATACTTGAAGGCTCATAGTGTACTTGTACTGCTGTACTAAATAAATGGAATTAAGTTTGTGTCTTTTGGCTTGCGTTTTTAACTTAAAGCAAATAAAAATATAATTACACTAAATGGGATAGTAATTAGATTTCAAAGGTGCTAAGTTTCTTGCTTTTTTTTTTTTTTTTTTTCCTGTTGCTGCTGCTGCTGGAAGCAGAATTGATCTGGAATGAGGAACCGGAGTAGAGTAAGTCATATCTTGAAAATAGAGATTTCAATGTGTAATTATTTTTGCAAGGTGAGTTGGTTTGGGATTCCCAGAAGCAGACTCCGAGCAAGTGATTTATTAGTGAAGTCCTCCCAGGAGAAATTGGTGAGGGAAGCAAGACTGGAAAGAAAAAAAAAGCCAAGCAAGGCTGTAATAGCAGGTACAGTCCTTCTGAGGGTAGCAGGATTCCCACAGACAGTGTTGGTGAGAGCTAGTGGAGGTAAAAGCATAGCTCAGCTGGGAGAGGGGTCCTCAAAAAGGATAAAAAAGAGATCTGAGAGGGTCTGGGCAGAGCACTGACTGTGTCAGTGTTTCTGAGAAAGTTTATCTCTGGGATGCAGTTCAAAATAAAGATGGAGTCTCTTACATAAGGCAGTTATAAATGAAGAGATTGTTTTCAATGTTCGAGATCTAAATTTAGGCAAGTGAATTAAACTTTGGAGTTACACCAAAAATGCGAATTGGAGTCTGAAGATGATACAACTGGGGCTCTGCAGAGACTGAGAAAAGGAAAGCTCTGAAGAGGAAGTGGTATTTTTTGCTGGAAAGAAATGGAAGAAAAATGAGAGAATTAGACTAATTATTAGGAAACTGTGCCTGAGTAAATTACATTGACAGATTAATTGAGATTGAAAGGCTTAGAAGATGAATAATCTAAATTAGTGAAAGATTAGAAAAAGAATGGACTCTTCTGAGAATTGAGTGCTTTATACAAATTTGTATGAACCACAAATTAAAATAATATCAACATTATCTAACTTCCCAGCCAAGTCAATATTACATCCGAGGGACGGAGGTGTCCTCAAAACGGTCTCCCTCTAAGGAATGACAGACACTTGACAATGGCTGTACACAGTCTCTGTGGGAAAGGTGGATGAGGAGAAAACTGTGTAATATTTTCAGCCAAGTATATGTGCTGACATCTGGCTGGCTAACTGGGCATGAATTAGTTAACACTAGTCATTGAAGACAAAACAACTCATTTTTGCATGATTGTTATATTTTTCCCATATCACATACATAAAGAAGCACTGTGGAATCAAGGAGAAATAGTCTTGAAAGCACCTTGAGGAAGCTTCTCCAATACAAGCACGGGGATAACAAATTTCTATTCTATGTAAAATAATGTCATGGGGAGTAATAAGTAATACATAATAGATAAGGTGGACGATATGTCTTGACTTAAACGTTTTGGACAAAAAAGAAATTTGAAGGTCTATCCTAGACTGGCAGTGTGTTATCATTGCCTCTAAATTACCTTGTGCTATGTGGCTGAGCAACACTGGCAAATATCTGTAATTTAAGGGTTTTATTCTAATTCTGACATGATTGTTACGCCAGAGAGCTTTTTGAGTAAGAAGCCTTTTAAAACTATTTATCATGTGAACTCTGGTTTTGCTTTTGGAATACATCATCTCATTAATTAAAAGATTGAAGTTTCATTATTTCATGTCTGTCTTCACTGGGTTACGTAAACAGCAACTCTGTCATTACTAAATCATATGCTATTTTAATTTTTCTAAAAATGTAGACCTCATAGCCATAATTGAGATAGAACATTACAGAAGAGAAAAAGCAATTTGGACCATCCCATTCTTAGATATGTATTGAATAAATCTATTCTGTTATTGGTATCTGTTTCAATTTATTTTTCCTGGTTTTGCTCATAGTTCAGTAACATTCAGGAGAAAGTGCTATATGGTAGCTAATGTGATATAGAAGACCCATTACTTATACTGCCAAATTTATCAGGAAAGTAAAAGAACAAAAACCAAACCCTTCCCTTAGAAATACATTATAAATTCAAGTAAACAAATATAGCATAGGTTATTTATGACAGGCACACAACTTTTAGCTACTGATCATTAGCTTTACTAATCATTAGCTTAGCTAATGAAAAATAAAATATTGAAAATATGAGCAACTAGTAAATCAAATAGTTTTTAGTTGAAAAACCGTAAGTTCTTTAGTCTACTGACTCTCCCCACCAAAAAATAGTCCTAAATTTCCACAGTGTTGATATAGGCCTTAATGATTTGTATGGATGAACAAGGGATTCCATGTTCAATGCAAGATGATACAGGAACTTCGAGTATTAATTGTAATCACCTATGTGAACTTTACAAGGTTCCAAAGCAATTTTTATAAGCAGAATTTCACTTTCCTTAGCCCAAATGTTTTACTAATACTGACTTTCATGTACTGATGTCATAAAGAGTGAAGTAAGTCAAAGAGAAAAACAAATACCATATGCTAACACATATATACGGAGTCTAAAAAAAAAAAAAAAAAAGGTTCTGATGAACCTAGGGGCAGGACAGGAATAAAGACACAGTTGTGGAGAATGGACTTGAGGACATGGGGAGGGGGAAGGGTAAGCTGGGACGAAGTGAGAGAGTAGCATTGACATATATACACTACCAAATGTAAAATAGATAGCCGGAGGGAAGCAGCCACATAGCACAGGGAGATCAGGTGCTTTGTGACCACGTAGAGGGGTGGGATAGGGAGGGTGGGAGGGAGACGCAAGAGGGAGGGGATATGGGGATATATGTATACGTATAGCTGGTTCATTTTGTTATACAGCAGAAACTAATACGACGTTGTAAAGCAATTATACTCCAATAAAGATGTTTAAAAAATAACAAATTTTTAAAGCAGTTGTAGGTTTATAACAAAATTGAGAGAAAGTCACAGAGGTTTCCCATATACTCCCTGGTCCCACACATGCACAGCCTTCCCATTCATTAACGTTACTCACCATAATGGTACATCTTTTTAAACCAAGGATGAACCTACACTGACACATCATAATCACCCAAAGTCCACAGTTTACCTTAGGATTCACCCTTGGTACTGTACATTCTATGCATTTGGACAAATGTATAATGACACATATCCATCATTACAGCATCATACAAAATATTTTCACTGCCCTAAAAAAATCCCCTGTGCTCCACCTATTCATCTCTCCTCCAACCCCCCACCCTCAGCAGCCCTGGCAACCACTGATATTTTTACTGCTTCCATAGTTTTTCTTTTTCCAGAATGTCATATAGTTAGACTTATGTAACTTTTTCAGATTGGCTCCTCTCACTTAGTAATATACATTGAAGTTTCCTCGTATCTTTTCATAGCTTAAAAACATTTCTTTTTTAAGCACTAAATAATATTCCATTGTCTGGATATACCACAGTTTATTTATCCATTCACCTACCAAAGGTCATCTTGGTTGCTTCCAAGTTTTGACAATTATGAAAAAAGCTGCTATAATCATCTGTGTTTTTGTGTGGACATCAGTTTTCTACTCCTTTGGATAAATACCAAGGAGTGTGACTGCAGGACCATATGTTAAGGGTATGTTTAGTTTTGTAAGAAACTACCAAACTATCTTCTAAAATGGTTGTACCATTTTGCATTTCTGTTTTCTTGGATAAATTATGAAATTTATTTATATTTCACCTTTTAAAAGCCAGAACATAACAAATGTCACTTTCTGGAAAGTCTTCTTATTAGAAATACATGAAGTGCACTTAATACAAGGAACTCAGGTTCTTGGTATCACCAGTGAGACCACCATCATCAGGTCCCACAAATGAAGGTTTTGTCAAATTTCCCTCTAAACTTAGACTGAGACGAACTTCTTCCACATGGTTGTACCATTTTGCATTTCTGTTTGGGGTTTCTGTTGCTCCACATTCTCATCAGCATTTGGTGTTGTCAGTGTTACAGATTTTGGCCATTCTAACAGGTGTGTAGTGGTATCTCATTGTTTTAATTCTCATTTCCTTGATGACATATCATGTGGAGCATATTTTCATATGCTTATTTGCCATCTGTGTATCTTCTTTGGTGAGGTGTCTATTAGGCCTTTGGCCCATTTTTTAATATGGTTATTTGTTTTCTTATTGTTGAGTTTTAAGAGTTTATTTTATATTTTGAATAACAGTTCTTTATCAGGTTTGCCTTTTGCAAATATTTTCTTTCAGTCTATAGCTTGTCTTATCATTCTCTTCACACTGTCTATTACAGAGCAGGCATTTTTAATTTTAATGAAGTCTAGCTTATCAATTATTTCTTTCATGGGTTGTGCCTTCAGTGTTGTATCTAAAAAAGACATCACCATACTGATGGTTAGCTAGGCTTTCTCCTATGTTATCTTCTAGCAGTTTTATAATTTTGCATTTTGCATTTATGTCTGTGATCTACTAACTCTAACCCTAATCCTAATCCTAAAAAATAGAAGAAAGGAAGAAAATAACCTAGTTCTGAGTCATGGGCCAACGCTGATTGTGTTACAGCATAAGTCACTTGAAGTGTTAGCCATAATAAGCCATGCAAATTCCTAATAGGACTACTAATATTAAGCAAACAAGATTATCAGGTTTTATGTCAGCTATACTCTTACTGAATCTTATGCACATAGAAAGGTGAGGAGAAAATGGACCTAAGATACCTTTTTGATGTTATTGCTTTGAACTCATTAAATCCTAAAAGTGAATATTTAAAAACCATATCTTCAATAATTAATGTTTTGTTTCTGCTTCTAAAAATTTAACGCAATGGAGCCACAAGAAGGAGCGCTTTTATTCTAAAAGGCACAAGTTTGTTGCTGTGGACATAGTATATGACTTTCAATGAGAAAAAAAATGTTAGTCTACATTGGTTAACATTAAGAGCTGGTATGTTTGCCTTACATGATGTTATAAACTCAATTTAGCTATAGAATAGTAAGAAAGAACATACAGACAGAAAAGTGAACAAAAAATTGTATACATTGTAACACTCTAAAAATATGTTATCCAACAGCAAAGAAAAATGATTGTTACCTTCTGGATAAAAGAGAAAATCTAAGTAAATATCTGAAGCCTTGAACACATAACAACCTTATTATAAATGTCAACATTTATGGACTGCTTTGAAGCCAGGGGTAAAAAGCAGGTAGTTTGAAACAGACAACCATTTAAAATATCTTAAAAATTTAAACCACTGTAAATTCAAATGCTTCTTTTCTTCTAAATTTTTGCTTCATGTGCTAGTGAAGGCAACATGTTTATAAACAGGCATTCATGAGTACAATATATCTTATACACTCAAAATATTCATACAGAGTCTTTCACTATTCTTCTGTGAGTCTTCCTATTGTCTCTCTATTGTTATCAATTATCGGGTTGGAAGGCATTTCAGCAAACAGATGACTGATTCAAAGAAAAGAAAACATATCTGTCATTAAGAGAGCCCTCTGATAGTGGATGTCATTTGTTAAGACCCAAAGGATATTCTCACCTTTCTATCCCATAATTTTTGTGGCATAGTCTGTGCTCAGCATTACCCTATACTACATTACCCTTGGCCATGTTAATCTTCCGTTCCAATGCATTTTCTCAGTTCAGCTGCAGTTTTTTGCAGCTGTTGAATGTTCCATTGCCATTGTCTTCTATCTGACTGAAGCTTGTTCACCTGACAGTGCAAACGCTTAAGAATTGCACCATATCTCTTATGTTGTACCTATTAAAAGAAGAGCACATGTCAATGGGCCTTGAGAAGGAAAAATAGTAAACAGCCATAAAGGATATTTTGACTACTCTAAAGAGGAAAGCACTTGATTAAAAATTACTCACTGTAAATAATAATGATAATAAAAATAAACAGTAATTATAAGTATTCAACACATTACATGCTAGATACTGTGATGAGAGCTTTTTACATGTAATTAAATTCTCATAACACCTTATGATGTAAATATTATTATCCCCACTTTTGTATAAACTGAAGATCAAAGAGTTTAAGTAATGCACTCAAGGTTTCACAGCTAGCAAGTGATGGTGTTTGGGATTTGAACACAAGGGAAGCATCTGTGATGGAGGGCCTTCTACTCATCAAAGCAGGTTCTGGTTAAGAGTAATGGTTTCATTTCCTGTATCTAGTGGTTCACTGAAACATAGACCCATTGATCTAAAAGATCCAGGAGATCATGTAGGCCATTTCCCTGCCATTAAGTAGATCAGTATTTATGCTGAGACAGACAAGGCTACAGCGGAGGGCAGTGAGGCCCAGTGGAAAGTGCATGGGTTAAGGCTGAGTAATATTTCATTGTGTGTATACACCACAGTTTGTTTATCCATTCATCCATTGATGGACACTTGGGTTGTTCCTAGTTTTGGCTATTGTGACCAACACTGCTATGAATATGGATATAAATATATCTTTGAGACTCTGCTTTCAATTCTTTTAGGTATATACCCAGAAGTAGAATTGCTGGATCATATAGTAATTCTATTTTTAATTTTTTGCTGAACTGCCATGCCGTTTTCTACTCTGGCTGCACGAGTTTACATTCTCACCAGCATGTGGGAGGGTTCCAATTCTTCACACACTGAAAGTATTTGATATTACCTGTCTTTTTGATCATAATCATAGCCATCTTAGTGGGTGTGAAGTGGTACTTCCAGTGAGTGTGACAGTGGTATTGTAGTAAAACACCCACTTTAAAATGAACTGATTAGTGGGGCTGGGAAAGTTACTTCTTCATTCTCATGTCTATTGAAGAGAGAGCTCTAGTCAGTCAGGAAGGTGATTCTAGGTCAATACAAAGAAGAATCAATTTGTCAAAACACCAATTCACCAAATTTGTCAAAATAACCAATTTGCCAAAATAAGTTTATAGCTTAAGATGGCTGTAGGGAGACAAGACTCTGGGTTTCTGGGGCCTTAAGACTCTGTCCCCGACCTGTCTCCCCTTCTCTCTGTAACTCAGCTTTCCTTTTTACTGGGACCCTTTTTACTGGGACCCTCAGTACAGCTTCCCCTCTCTCTTTCCCAGCTTCTCCCTTAACTTGGAGCTTCTTCACCTTTATTATGCCATGGCTCATTTTGATAGTATGTGAGGACTATGGACTTCTTCTTAGAATGTTTTTTAAATGCATAAAATAAAACATACAGGAATACAAAAGAAACCAATTATATGGAAACACAGTTCTGCAGAGCATCAGGGGAACTAGGACAGAAACACTGTAAGCATTCCAAAATACTGGTATAAAAACAAGTGAAAACTTGTCAAGTAACACTTCACATAAATTGCTATAAACTTTAAACATCCTTTTAAGTTTTCAGTTTTGTTAATTCTTCAAAGTCAGATAGTTCATTCAAATTGGTGAACTAGGCCTCCTGATATATTGGCAAAACAGAAAATGACTTTAAAAGAATTATAAATTAAATTGGTAAACAGAAACATCATATTAGATAATGAAACTATATTCAAAATAAGATTTTTAATATATCAAGTATATCCAAAGGGATATATATCAACTTATACGTATATATGTAATACATATCACTGCATATATTAATATGTAATAAATACATCCATTGATATATCCAATAGCATACATTCATAAGGAGAATATAGTCACTGAATATGCTTATATACATGTTCATAGAATATACTAATAGAAATCAAAAAACTAGAACAAAATTTTGGTTATTCCATAAATCATATTAGCCTGCATCTAAAATTATTCTTCAGCAGTGAAGCTGTGAAACTAATACACCATGGATCAGAGTAGAGACATGCAAAGTCCCCTTAGTGGGACTCTAGATCACCAGCCTCAGCTAGATATCACAGGAGGTATTAATATAAACTAAAGAAAGAATATATCATCAGAAGGGTTTATGTGAAGAACGTAGCACAAAAATAGGCAAGTGAAGGAGGCATGTGTTGGTAGTTCCCATCCAGTGACTGTCTGATAAGAATAACACTGTTACGGAGATTGGCTCCTTGAGTGTCCAGAGCCAGAGGTTAAGAACACTCCAACTCAAATGACTGACTTGATTTCCATGCTCAGTAACCAGCTTTATGATAATTTGGCTTCCAGTGTAGTTTCCTTACAGGGAGAAGAAGCACTGATGACTGATAGGTTTTCTGATTTCCTTGAGAGTTTTGTTTATTATTGTAAACTAATAAACTGGCATTTGAGTTTTACACATCAGGTTCTTGTGAACTCTACTAGCACTTCTCCATGTCTACGCAACCCTGGGATATTTAAAAGGTTAATTTTCTAAGCCCACAAGGCTAAAAGGAGGTTTTGGCCAAGAAGTGACTTCGTAAAGATGAAGGTCACATTGTGAGCCTTCTTGAAGGCCAGCCAATTGTTCAGCCTCTATTGGTATAATTCTGCCTTTGGTATGTGTCAATATTCAAACTTGAATACCATTACACAGCTAAGGATGTAGTGGTTCTGGAGAGAATACAGCTTTTTTTGCCTCTAAGAAATGGAGGGGTTACTATTCTTATTTAGTTATTGTTACACTCAAGGCAGAAATAAGAATAATAATGAAGCAGGGGTGGTGCTCAGAAAACACAGTGGCAAAAAGAGTGGCCTCTTCATTCCCTTCACTCTAGGCATACTTCACTTCTAGAATCTGAGTCCAAGTACGTTCTCATCTTAAGACTTTTGCACTTATTTTTTCCTTTGCCTGGAAAGCTATTCCTCAGATCTACATGACTGGCTCCTTCACTTCTTTACATTGTTTGTGTTTTGAAAGTTAAACCAACTCTGCATTCCTGAGATAAACTTTGCCTGGTCATGAGTTACTAACCTTTTTATACATACCAGCGGATGTCAATTTGAAAATATTTTGCATCTACGTTCATGAGGAACATTGGTCTGTAATTACTTTTCTGGTAATGTTCCTGTTCATTCTTTGTGTCAGGGTTATGCTGGCCTCCTAAAATAAGCTGGGAAGAGTTCCACCCTCCATTTTCTGAAAAAATTTGTATAGGCTGGGTATTATTTCTTCCTTAAATGTGTGATAGAATTTACCAGTGAAGCCATGTCAGTCTGAAGCTTTCCTTGTGGGGAGGGTTTTAATTATGAGTTCAATTTCATTGATTCCTACTTTACACCATTTATATAGCCTAATTTTAAATGGATCATAGGTCTAAACATAAAAGTAATTTCTTCCTGTGTTACTGATGGTATGTACGCTTTTCAAGGAATTTGTCCATTTCATCTAAGTTGTTAAATTTATTGTTCTTTATAATAGGCCTTTATCATCCTTTTAAGTCTATAGGACCTAAAGTAGTGTCCCCACGATCCTCATTTTTTGATCAGTATTGTTATGGTTTATCAATTTTATTAGTCTTTTCAACTTTTGGCTTTGCTGATTTTCTCTGATTTTCCATTTTCTATTTCACTGATTTCTATTTATTATGTCATTTCTTCCTATTTGCTATGGGCTGAATTTATTCTTATTTTCTAGTCTCTTAAGATGGAAGCTTAGATAATTGCTTTTAAACCTTTTTTCTCTTCTAATATGCACACTTAAAGCTGTAAATTTTCCTCTAAATACTGCCCTAGCTATACCCTATGGTTTTTTATGTGCTGTGTTTTCATTATCATTCAATTTCAAATATTTTGTAATAATTCTCATGATTTCTTCTTTTTTTGTGATTTCTTCTTTGACTCATGGATTATTTATAATTGTGATACTCAATTTCAAAATGTTTATGTATTTTCTAGCTTTCTTATTGTTACTGATTTTTAATTAAATTCTGCTGTTATCAAAGAATATCAAATTCTTTGAAATTTATCATCCAGTGTACTGTCTATCTTGGTGAATGTTCCATGTGCCTTTGAAAATAAAATATAATCAACAGTTATTAGGTGGAGTATTTTATATATGGTAATTAGGTTTAGTTGGTAGATAAGTTGTTCAAATTTTCTATATGCTTGCTTACTGATTTTATGTATTGTTCTATCAACTACTCAAAAAAGTTGTTAAGCTCTCCAATATGATTGTAGATTTGTATCTTTTTCTTTTTAATTTTGTCAGTTTTTGCTTATGTATTTTGAAGCTTTATGATTAGGTAAATACACATTTAGTATTATTATTTGTTTCTGGTGAATTGACTGGCCCTCTTCAACTTTGATGGTAGTCCATATCTTAAAATCTACTTGATATTAATACAGCCATGACCAGCTTTCTTAAGACTGATGTCTTCATAGCTTATCTTTTTCTATCTTTCAACCTGTCTGTGTCTTTATATTCAAAGTGCATCTCTTGTGAAAAAGTTACGTTCGCAAATTGTTTTTTCAATCCAATCTGATAATTTTTACCTTTTAATTGGAATGTTTAGTCCATTTACATTTGATGTAACCACTGATATGTTTGGGTTTAAGTCTACCATTTCAATATTTGTGTTCCATTAGTCTATTTTGCCTTTTTTATTTATTTCTTTTCTGTCTACACTCAGAGTGGATCACAGACCTAAATACAGAATGCAAAACGATAGAACTCCTAGAAGATAACACAGGAGAAAGCCTAGATGACCCTGGGTTTGGTGATGTCTTTTTACATACAACACTGAAGGCACAATCCATGAAAGAAATGATTGATAAGCTGGACCTCATAAAAATTAAACTTTCTGCTCTGTAAAAGACACTGTCAAGAAAATAAGACAAGCCACAGACTGGGAGAAAATATTTGCAAAAGACACATCTGATAAA